CCTGCCTCAACTGCTGAAAGTATGCTGTCCTAATTTGACAAGCAGGACACAGAAGAAAGTGACAGCCAGACATTTTCAAGACAAGGAGGAACAGCCCTTCAGAATACCCAGCTTCACAGAAAAGTCCATCAGATATGCTAGGCCTGTAGGCCAAAGATACATGCCCCAATGTGGCAGAAGAACTTTGGGTGGCTATCCAGACAGCCAGCTATTTCTGTCATTTTTCACATTTTTTGGAAGTTGCTAGTTTGCACTTTCTGCTTACTCATTTAATATTATTTCCATATTGGGTCTCTGAGGGAGTTGAAGATTATATAGCTATAGTTATAGTTTACCAGATGCAGAAAGCAAGTTATGATAGAAAGTTTTAGCTACACTGGCTGGACAGCAAGCCCCACTCTCAGTAACCTTTCTGTCTCCATCTCCACAGTGCTAGAGTTCTAGGTACCCATATGGCTACACCTGAGTTTTTTTTTCCTTACTGGGATTATGCTCAGGTCCTCAGCCTTACCCACTGAGCCATCTCCTCGGCCCCAATAAAAGTAATTAAAACAGTACTGATATTATTTATTATTCCAAAGTGGTTGAGTAGAGAAAACCCCAATTACAGAATGACACCATATGGTTTCTACTTCTAGGCATTTCAGTTCTAATTTTTGCTTTTGTTAGGTTTATTGTTTTGTTTGGTGGTTAGCCATTTGGAGTTTTGTTTGTTTAGGAGGTCTTTGGAGACTATGTTTTTTATGTAGCCCAGACAGGCCTAGAATTCTCTCATTCTTCTTGTCTCAGCTAGTACTAGGTTTATAAGCATGTGTCATCATGTCCTATTATCATGCTTAAACAAGATAAAAAACAACAACAAAAACGACACACACTTTATATTTGTTCAAATTATTTGTTTCTGCTGGGGGGGAGTGATCTGGATAGAACATTACAACATAATTTGTGATGAGATGTTGCGGGCCATGATAAAATTACAACAGTGGACAACTGACAATTATAAAACCAATCCACCAGATGATCAACTAATCTGATGGAGGAAATTCATAGGCAAGGCTTATGAATACATACAGACCACTCTTGTCTTTAGATTCACATGTGCAAAGACAGTTATAGTATCTTTCCAATATTTACACTATAATATGTAATCTCATGTGATATGTATATGCAATCTCATGATTACATCTCAATCTTATGGGCAAATATATCTGAGGGTGGTCAGGAAGATGATTCCTCATTAATCTGTATAATTTTGATATACAGAAAACATACTAGGCTATGCTTCATAACTAGATCTATTGTCCTATCAGAGCTGTAAGGCACTTAAAAGGCTGCTTTGTTCCTTTTACTCAGACTAACACAAGAAAATAACAATTTCTCCTAAGTCTAAGACAAATTGCACACAATTAGCTAATTTTACCTAAGAACAAGTTCAAACTAGACTAAAGGTTTTTAAAAATAGATCACAAGTTTAAAAACTTCACAGTTTGGCACGAGGTCAGACTTGCAGGTGTCTAACCAAGGTAAAAAACCAGCCTTAAAAAGTCCTGTCAATTCTTCACTTGTCAAGTCTGGCTGATAAAAGACCTATGTCTCAAAGCATGTCTCACTGGGCACTGTGCCCCCACTCTCTAGTCACAGTCTCACTCCAGAAAGCTTGAAACTTCGCATTGCCATGAGAAAAGGCTCAGCCCTTATTACCTACCCAAAGGAATGTGCTTTTGAACAATGGGATGTAACTCTTGTAATTTTTATTATTGCTTCAAGCCTCCTGAAAAACAGTGTATTTAAGCTAGGTAAACATAGCTGGGAAAAGAATTGAAACATAAAATTAGAATGAGATGCAGAATTACAGAATTGGAACTAAAGAATTAGAATTAAGAAATTATAGACAATTAGGACAAGAGAATTAGAATGAAAGGAAAATGACCCTCAGATAATGTGTGAATTTATTATAGAAATCTTTCAGTCCTTACTCCTGAGAATCATTCTGAGAATCAGTTACTCTGGGTAGTGGTCAGGGAGCCAGACTTCCAGACCACTAAAATAATTATCAATCTCAACTGGCTTAAATAATAGGAAATGATATTGTCTAGATATGGGAGCTTCAGAAATAGTTTCTTTGGCTTCCAAGTTCTGTCTATAGTTTTCTTTTCTCTTTTCTTAGTTTTATTTCACTTTGTTTCCTTAAAATAATGTATTTTGTAATATTTATAACAATCAGTTGAGATAAAGTAGGAGTTTGTTTAGATGCAGTAATGAGTCCTTCCCTCATCTTTTAATGTCAGAAAGCTCCTAGACAAGGAATCGAGAATATGGTGTGTGTTCTGGACTCCATAAAGTTCAAGAAGAGTCTCAGTATTTTACTAGAGAAAAGATAGCTAGCTCGTGGCCTTCCAAGCTTTCATAATTCCTCTCTTTTTGCATGAAATAATAAGTTAAATACTTATTTCAACTCTTTTCATGTGGATTTCAGAGTATCTGTACTGGTTCTTCTGAGAGATGCTTTTCTTGACTTTGCCACCCTCAGGATGTTGGTCTCACCTTAGGGTGAGACAAGGTAGCCACAGCAGTTCTATGCATCTTGCTCAGACATGCGACTATCCAAGAGAAAGAGGAGACCACCTTTCTTCTTGCTAGTCTTTCTCCAGAGGAAAAAGATTTCCCAGAGCTTCCTGTTCTTTCTCTCAAATCATTGATGTATTACATGCTGATGCATACTTAGTTACCAGAAACAAATACACTAATTTACTAAACAAATCGGGACCATTTCCAGGAGCAGGAATATTGGAACATACACAAGACTGGTGAGATATTAGAAGAAAAGTTAATTTCAACTAACATAGAGCTGTAAACAAAATATAACATAAGGCACAGACAACAAAGCTCCTAGGTATTACAAACTTATAAGTATTTAGTGACTGAAAAGGCAGGCAAAACCAATCCTTCTGAAATCTGAAAAAAATTCCATCTAATTCCTATCATTTCTTTTCTCTATAATTAAACTCCAGAAAAAGTTTATTCATTTTGAATCTACATGGAAATTCATGCCAAGTGTAGAAAATAAAATTTCAGTTATAGGATCTGGTTTCCTTAGGAATGTGGTTATTGTTTCCAAATGTGATGCAAGCTAGAGTTATCTGGAAAGAGGGAACCTCGAATGAAGAATTACCTCCATCAGATCAGCATGTAGACGTGCCTGTGTGACAATTTCTTGATTAATAATGGATATGCAAGACTTCAGCACACTATGAGCCAGTGCCAACCCCACACAGGTGGTCCTGGATTGTATAAAAATGGAAACTGGATGAGCCACTGGAAGCAGTATTCCTCCATGATCGCTGCTTTGATTTCTGCCTCCAGGTTCCTGCTTTAGTGTCAGCACTGGCTTCCCTCAATGATGAACTGAACCATGTAAATACAGAGATAAGTATGTACGCACAAACCTGCTGTGGATGGGAAAATGTTCAAAGATCAAGAAGAACAAAACTGCACACAATCTATATTCTTGGAAGCTCTAGTAATTTTGAAATCTAGATTTAAAGAATTTCATTGAAGGTGCTGGAGTGATGGCTCAGTGGTTAAAAAGAATGGTTGCTCTTCCAGAAGACCCAGGTTAGATTCCCCACACCCACATGATGGCTCAAAATGATTTGTAACTCCAGTTTCAGGGGATCTAATGACCTCTTCTAACCTCCAAGGGCACCAGGCATGCATGTGGTATACAGACATATGTGTAGATAAAACACTCATACAAAAATGAACAAATAAATAATCAAGAACCATAGAATATGCAGAGAGTTAATATCAAACTAAAGAGATGTATAGGCAAGAATGAGATCCTATTATCTGCATTCTTGGTTCACTGAAGGAATCAAAGTCTATGGATATAGAATACAAAAAATAGTAACGTAAATGGAAAATATCAAGACTACTACTAACTCTCAAAATTTAAATCTTAGTGAACAATTTAAAGATGATCTCTGATACTTTCTAGCTTTGAAGAAAATGAAAATAAATTATTCCTAAAACAAGTTTCTAAAGATGTATGTGAATTAGTGACTTCATCTGGTCACTGTCAATCTTTGGGGGTGTCCAAAAGAATATGGTGACTTTGAACTTCTACTGGAAAAGGTGTTTATGTGTATTGTGAGATTATATTAAATAGACCATTGAAATGAAGATGGTAATAATAGATTATACACTTGATCTTCAATATAAAAGATGAAATATACTCCAATACAGTTATCTTTCAAATAAAACCCACTGTGAAGATTTCAAACTTTGAACCTGATAGGAATCACCTATGAGTCTCTTACGTTATCACCATAATGCCCCTCCTAATTCTCAGGAGTGAACTGATACAATAATTTGCTTTCCAGCACTCTAAATTATTCATTCTATAAACCCCCAGTCCAAAAGAGCAACAGTTCAGAAGCAGAGCTCTAAGCCTAGGGTAAAATACCAACTTCTTAGACTTGAGGATCATTCACTCATTATACAGAACAATGATAAAACCAAGGATCTCATTGCACTCTCTTAAATAGCTAGGAGAAAAAGCCCTTAATCAATGAATATCTTCTCTTGTCGGTGATGTTCAAGTAATAGTTTCTCACTTTTTCCCTTTTATGTCATCTTTTTGGCACTGTAACAAAAAATGTACACTGACTTATTTTTTTTTATTTTTTTTTTATTTTTTTTCGAGACAGGGTTTCTCTGTAGCTTTGGTGCCTGTCCCAGAACTAGCTCTTGTAGACCAGGCTGGCCTCCAACTCACAGAGATCCGCCTGCCTCTGCCTCCCGAGTGCTGGGATTAAAGGCATGCGCCACCATCGCCCGGCTTGTACACTGACTTAGAAAAAGTTAATAAAGTAGTAAAAAGCACTGAATAACCTAATCCAGAGGTAGATAATATTGAAAACAGCATCTCATGAAAAGTTGTAAAAACACATTTTAATTTTTCTGCCCCAGTGATTCCCACTTAGCTTTCTTTCTCTTACCTTTCTAACTCAGCTATCTTCTTATCTTTGTCATTCTTCTCATTTTCTACTTCTTTCAAGATTTCCAAGAGGCGATCAACTTCAGTCTGGGCCTTACTAGATTCATCTTTGTACCTGGTAATCTCTCTCTCCAATTGCTGTATTCGGTCATTCATCTCTGGACTGGCTCTGGCTTCCAGTGTTGCTTCATGTGCCTACCCAAAAATTAAATTAAAAAATTAAAAATTTTAAAGTCTAGCCAATACAGGTACAGTGGCAGTAAGCAAACCATGCCCAAAGAATGAGTTATATTTCAATGTAAATAGTGTTAATGGCTAATCTTCAATTTCTAAAGCTTTTCTCTAATAAAGGATTACATGGGGAAAAGATTAATAATTAATGGGTAGGAATTATTTTAGTTTACAAATGGATTTCTTATTTAAAAAAACTATTTCATCTTGGAACACTTATTATGAGGTCAAAATTCATCATAACCCAACTGACACTTTGATTGAGATTAATGAAAACTATATTGGAGGGCCATAAATTCTGATCTTTGTATTCTTACATCAATGCTGAGACTCATTTCTTTAGGCCTAACCTAATTTCCTTCTCCTATATGTGGCTTTGCCAAATGTATGACTCATATGGCCTACAGCTACAAACAAATGCTTTGCAAATGAAACTGGGTTAAGAAAATAGCTACTCTGAGCTGGGCATAATCCCAGCACTTGGGAAGCAGAGGCAGGTGGATCTCTGTGAGATCCAGGACAGCCTAGACTACATAGTGAGTTCTAGAAAAGCCAGAATTACACAGTGAGTCTTGGAAACAACCAAGAAAGAGGGAGGGAAGAAAGGAAGGAAGAAAGGAGGGAGGGAGGGAGGGAGGGAGGGAGGAAGAAAGAACAGTTTCTCTCAAGTATATTTCGCTAAAATTCAGAATTTTACAAGATAGCCTGGGATTGACAAATGAAGTTAGAAAGCAAGGCCCACTCTTAAAACTAAGAAAAAGTATATTCTGTTGTAAAAGACATCTAATAAAGTCAATATATTTTAAAGTACTGCAAATTACAAAATTACAAATTAGTTTTCAAATTACTCATTGTATTAATGTTCTTATTATTTTAACAGAATAGCTGAGAAAAGAAATTTAAGGGAAGACAGGATTGTTTGGGCTCATGGTTTAAGGGTATAGACTATCAAGGAGAAGGAGTAGCTGCTTGGGCTCCATCCATGGTTGTAGGAGCTGGAAGTACACGGCATGATCTGTGGCATGCTGGGGACAGAGGGGAAGCAGAGAGCTCAGTTACAAGTAGAACCTGGCTAAGACCTAAAAACCTAAGGGTTTCAGTGACCTTCTTCTGCCATCCAGACTTCACGTCTAAAAGGTTCTGTAACTGCCAAAACAGTACCACCAACTGAGGACCAAGTTTCAAAAGGCTCTCAGCAAACCAAAATATTCCTTCTCACTAATTTCTAAAGCCATGTGTATATAATGAATGTACTTAATAAGAAGATAAAGACTAAGACATCACATTTTTTATCCAATAAGTAGAAAATATATTACATCTTCAAAATATTTCAAAAATAGTAGAGGAAAATAAATTCTTCAGAAAATATTTTAGGAAAACACGACACAAAGTAGCATAAGTAAATGAGAAAAGTTTGTGTAAATTAAGTTAAATCTTTCATGAAAGTATTATCTACATTTTCAGAGTGAATATGTCACCAAGTTCATTTGTTTAAGGTTCCATTCCCAGCAGGGGGGGGATTTTAATCTCTTCAACACCTACTAACCTAACTAACTTAGGAAACAACTACGCCAGCTTGAAGAATAAATAGACACCATTGTTTTTCAACTCTCTGAATTAGCTCTTCTTTTTTTTTTTTTTTTTTTTTTTTTTTTTTTTTTTTTTTGGTTTTTCGAGACAGGGTTTCTCTGTGGCTTTGGAGCCTGTCCTGGAACTAGCTCTGTAGACCAGGCTGGTCTCGAACTCACAGAGATCCGCCTACCTCTGCCTCCCGAGTGCTGGGATTAAAGGCGTGCGCCACCATCGCCCGGCGGAATTAGCTCTTCTTATACGGTTTTGCCAGAGTTGAATGAGGTGGGGTACTCCTGCTGGTCATTCTCGCATGGACAGGAGGGCTATGGAGACTGTTTTACTACAGTGTGTCCAACAGCAGGGGGAACAGAAGCTGTTTCACAGAATGCTCACTTTAGGTGAGGTGTAAATAAAAAGCAGGAATGAATAAAGACACCCCACTATCCACACATACACAAAAGAGATAACAGGAAAGAGGAAACAGAAGGAGGTTGGGATGGGGCAACAAAAGACAATAAACAAGTATCAACAACAGCTTATAATCAATGCCATGGAGATAAATCTTGTTACATTTAATTCTAACTATTGTTTATGCTATAAATACTACTGGCCTGGCGTTCACACATGCTAGGTTACAGTCACTGGTTAGTTAAATACTACTTCCATAGAAGGGGTCCTCTATACCCTAGACTCTGTGATTTGCTAAACTTTGCTGGGTATGTGTCTATTTTCGCTACCAGAGACTATTAATTCACTGAAGACAGTGGATAGTTCTATATTGTCTACCACCACATCCTCAGCACCCACTCTGTTAACCGACACAGGCCAGAAAAACGCTTAACAAATGAAATTGTATAACGTCTTCAGGATAATTTCTATTTGCTTTAAAACAGCCAAGAGGTATGTGAGATAACTCAGCAGTTAGGAGCTCTTGCTGCTCTTCCAGGGAACCCAATCCCCATCTCTTGGCCCCTGTAAGCACCCACATCCACATGTACTAACACACAAATATACACATTAAAAACAATAATAAATCTTCTTAAAAAGTTTTTAATCATGTGCATGTGTGCCTGTTAGTACATGTGAATGCAGGTGCCGATGGAGGCCAGTGGTTTTGGATCCCCTGGAACTGCAATTACAGGTAGCTGGGAGCTGCCTAATGTGGATGTTGGGAATCAAACCTAGGTCCACTAAAAGCGCAATACATGCTCTTAACCACTGAGCTATCTCTCCTAATAATAAACCTTTAAAATATATTTTTAAAGTAAAATAAAATAAATCAGTCCACAAGAGTGAAGGTATGAAAAGAAGAATGACTGGGGACAAGGAGGAAAATGACCAGTAGCTAAATAGAAGTTCAAGGTTAAACATAACTCAGGAGTCAATGATCCAGAATAAAGAATCACTGAGAAGAAAGTCAATCTGCTACAAGGATGTAAAAAGTAAAAAAAAAATTATCAACCTTTTCTTAATATCATAACAAATTTTATATCAGAGACACTTATATCTAAACTCTGTTGAGATCATTTATACTTTTTTGTTGTTTGTTTGTTTCCCAAGACAGGATTTCTCTGTCATAACTGTGCTGGAACTAGCTCTGTAGACCAGGCTGGCCTCGAACACACTGAGATCCGCCTGCCTCTGCCTCCCAAGTGCTGGGATTAAAAGCATGCACCAATACTGCCTGCCATTTACACTTTAAAATGAAATTTCAAGAAATATTAAATCACCTTAAAGACTTTTACAACTTTATAAAACTAATATAAACTCAAAAAGAAATTTGCCAAGTCAGTGTTACAAACATTTATTTAAAACAGTTTTACATCTGAGCATGGTAGCATATATTCTAGCACTTGAGAGGCTAGAGGTGGAACTTTGTGAGTTTCAATCCAGCCTGATCTACATAGCAAATTGCAGGACAATGAGCTATATAGTAGGAATACATGTCAAAATAAATGAATTAATTAATTAACTTGGCAAATAGAGTAAAATATTTAATTCAAGATGTAAACCTCAAGCATGGAAGCATGCGTCTATAAATCCCAACACTCTGAAGGTACAGGTACAAAAACAAGTTACTGACAAGAAAAAAGATATAGAGACCCTCCCTGTCTCAATAAATAAAACAACAAAAGAAATAAACACACAAAAAAAAACTGTGAACAGAAGAGAAATCATCCCTTCATGATAAAAACTTTCTTGATAGACTATGCATGGGAAGCACCTACCTCAACGTAGTAAGAGCTACATGATCCTACATGCAGAGGAACTCAAAACATTCTCACTAAAATCAGGAATAAGACAAGGGTATCTGTGTTACAATTCAGCATAGTACTTAGTCCTACACATAGCAAAAAGACAAATGAAAGAAATAACCGAAACTGAGCTGGAAGTGACCTCTTCGCTAGCCAACTTTCTGTTTTGTGTTTTGTGTTCTCTGTGTGTGTGTGTGTGTGTGTGTGTGTGTGTGTGTGTGTGTGTGTGGTTTTTCGAGACAGGGTTTCTCTGTAGCTTTGAAGGCTGTTCTGGAACTAGCTCTTGTAGACCAGGCTGGCTTTGAACTCACAGAGATCCGCCTGCCTCTGCCTCCCGAGTGCTGGGATTAAAGGCGTGTGCCACCACCGCCCTGCGCTAGCCAACTTTCGTAGTACAGAGAGTTCACTGCAGGCTACTAAGTGATAAAAGGCAGCAATGGTCTTACCCAGCCGAGAACCCTATTAACTACAATACCAACTGGCCAGGCAATTATGTGCCTCCTTGGTGCAATGGTGGCACTATTGATATGGGGGAAACCAAGCACTCTCTGGTAAATTTTAAAGCCCACTCCACAAACTGAGTTTCATGCCTGATCCTATAAATATAGTTAAAGAACCCAGAGTTAAGAAGGTCTTAGATCCAAGGGGTAACTTTATACTCTTGGTTAGCTAAATTGACATAATGCCAAGTTGCCTTCTAAATACCTCTAATTATACCCACATATAAATACTACTTGTCTTTTTTCTTTCTTCTTTTTTTTTTCTCCTGGGTTTTGGAGACAGGGTGGCTTTGAACAACTGTCTTAATCAGAAAAACTTCTCTTTGGAATGAAAGGTGGCAAAATGCAAAAGATTCATGGTTGATCGAGATATTTAAAAAAAAAAAGTTATGGCTGAGTGCTCAGCCCTCAACAAGACTCTCATATTACCCCCTCTCAGGATCAGGTGAAGAGAAGGTGAAAAGAATGTAAGGACTGGGATATGTGGAGAAAACTATAAGATGCTTTCTTGTGGGCATGATATAGTCAATGTAATCATGAACTCATGTAGCAGTGGCTGCCAGCAGTGGGCCTCCATGAGATTAGCCTGCTGTCAAGTCAATCATAGATTGTGGAGGTGTCTCTGTGACCTTGCCCTAGCCTGGTTAACTTATGATCCAGAGGAGTGGCAAACATTCTGATCAGCACTGACGAGCTCAACATGTTCCAGTGAACAATACAAACCATGGTCACATAGCCTGGCGTGCTGGTTTGTTGACACAAGTTAGAATCATCTGGGAAGAATGAATCTCAGTTGAGAAACTGCCTCCATGAGACTGCCTATAGTCTATGAAGTGTTTTCTTAGTTATTGATGTGGCAGAGTTCAGTCCATGTGGGCAATGTCACCATGTGGGCAGATGGTTCTTGGTTGCATAGTAAGCCATGCTTCGATGGCTTCTTTCTCAGTTACTGCCTCAGTTCTTGCCCTCATTTACCTTCATGATAAGCGATATAAAATAAACCCTTTCCTCTTTAGGTTGCTTATGGTCAAGGTGTTTTTAGCTTTAAACTCAGTGTGTTAAAACAAAACAAAAACATGCTTGTGAGAAAAGGACTCAGGGCAATTATGTAAAAGGAATGAAAAGGAGAAAGAATGTGATAGTAATCAACATGTACAATATATTCTATGAAATTGTCAAGCTAAACAGAAAGAAAATACACAGTTTAAGCACAGACTTGAAAGAAGATCCTAGTGAAAGGCCAGGATGTTAATGTGCTACCAAAATTCTAGACTAAACTGGGATCGTTAGAAGCTACAGTGGTGGTAAAAGCGAAAGAAAAGGAAGCAGCCCTGGATAAGCAAAGGGCAGTCTGCAGGAACCTTCTAGAACCTGTCTCTCGGGAATGAAAGTCTTCCTCTTCCCAAACTCATGTGCTGAAGGCTTGACTTGCCAATGCGATGTTCAGAACTGGGGTGACTGGGAAGTGAGTGGGTAAATCAGGAGAGCACTGACCTAATCTGTGGTTCAATCATAGAACCAAAATGTGATGGCATTGCGGAGAGGCTGACACTCAGGATCTCAGTACAGGAAGTAGCTCACTAGTGCCATGAGCTTAAAGGAACACTTTGTCCTTGCTCCTATCTGCTTTTCTGGTGGGCATGATGCTCTGTCCCACTAAAGACTAAAAGCGATGGAATCATCCAACCATGGACTGTAACCGCTCAAACTGTAAATCCAAATAAATCTTTTCTACTTTAATGTGTATCTTTGGTGTATCACAGCTACAAAACCAAACACATCACTAACCCACTAAGAAAAATGAAAATAACTGTACAATCTGTAGTGTCACTATGATCCTCAGCGGACAAGAGAGAGGGAGGAGGGAAGAAGGAAGGATTCAGAGCTATCTACAGTGTTCTTATGCAAACAAAGTGAGAATGGGAGCTCCTCAACCTTCTTCAGCTGTGACTCCATTTTCAGGCACTCTTCCTTCTTCTGTTCAAGAGCAATTTCAAGGGTCTTGAGTCGTGAGTCCTTTTTCAGTCCTGAGGAAGCCAGGGAAGAAGCATGCTCTTTGAGATCCAAGAGAGAGGCCTAAAAGCATCAAGACATGTTTAGATGAATACTGTGAAATAAAATGTATATTTAATTTTTCAAATTGTTAGTCATAGCATCTGAAAGTTCCCATTTCAAGAACATTCATGAACTATAAAAACGTATTATCTTTAGCTTCCAGACGTTAACTGAAATAAGGTTGATCCTCAGGACTAAATGGACAGTGACATAAAGAGTCCTAGAAATGACTGGGGTGCAGCTCCAGTAAAAAGCATGCCTGGCATGCATCAAGTTCTAGGTTCAATTTTCAGCACCACGTAAACCAGGCATGGAACACACTTGTAATTCCAGCACTCAGGAGGTGAAGGCAAGAGGATCAGAAGTGGAAGGCCAGCCTGAGATAGAGGAGGCCCTGTCGCAAAATAAAACAAGAGCTCTAACTTAATGTACTTATTTTCACAAAATAAAAGAGACTGAGCTTTGAGAACCTAAGTAACCAAACTTAGTAACTAAGTAATTTGAATGGGGATTTTTCCCCCCTCTTTCAGCAGGAAATTCTTGTAGAAACTTACTTCTGGAAATTTTCCTAAAGTTAAGAGACAAATCTGCTGGATTACTCATCACACAGCATTCAACTGTTTAGCTATTTAAATTATACTAACAGGATTATTCAAAAATAAGATCAAAATCATGAAGTCACATAAGTTATAGGTGATTGTGTTTCTAATAACGGTTATAATTAGATTTCTTCCTTTGTTACTTGTATTGTTAGAAGTGTCTCTCATTATAAAACATGGCTGCAGTTACTCTAGGATACGCAGCTTTGGTATCACATAAGAAATCAACTCTTAAAACAGAGAACAGGGTCGTAACGGACGAAGAAGTGATAAGCAGTCTACTGTAGCACTCACAGCTTCCTAGGCAACTAGAAAGCCCTCCACAAAATACTAAGAATCTTTCTTGCTTGTCTGCACTGTGCAGACACCGCAGATACACAGAAAGCGATGACTAAGCAAACTGAGTAACTCCATTTGGTAATCCTAACCTCCTTCTCGGAGAGGTCTCCTTGCAACAGGCTGACTTTTTCTTTCAAGTCTTTAAGATCTTTCTTGTAGGTATCAATCTCTTCTTGCTTCTCTCGCTCATCTCTGTCCCGCTGCTCCTTTAAGCGTTCAATTGTTCGTTCCTAAAAAGAAAGCACACCAAGTCATGAGGAAACTACCATTTGTACCTACATCCGGTAGCATACTCTGCTTCCTCTGACCAAAGTCAATTCTTCTACCATCTACTAAAAAGGCAATGGTAAGCTCTTCAAGAATTTATATAGTGTATATTGCATGTGTTTTAATAAATAAAGCTTGTCTGAAGATCAGAGGGCGAAGCAGCCATACTAGGCAGCCATACAGGCCAGGGAGTGGTAGCACACACCTTTAATTCCAGGACTAGGAAGACAGAGGCAAAAAGGCTCTGTGAGTTCAATGCAGCTGAGGGCTACACAAGACTGAATCAATCTACAAAAGAAACAGAGCTCACACAAAGGTGACCCCAGCGCTTGGGAACCCACTCCTTTAATCGCAGCACTGGGGAGGTGGAGACAGGAGCCATAAGGCTGGGCAGGGAAAAAAAATATAAAGGGGAAGAGACAGAACTCAGTGGAGTGCAGAGTTTGAGGAAACCGGATCTTGACATTCTGTATGAAGATTTGGTAGAGGGAAAAGGTCTCTCTAGTGGTGGCTGCTTTGCTTCTATGATTTTCAGGTTGAACCCCAATATCTGTCTCTGGGTTTTTATTGTTTGTACTATAAATTAACTTTTCAAATAACTAATTTCTCCTTTTGTAACCAATAAATGTCCAACTTTGCTTATTTTTAAATTCCAAGAGTAGTTTCCTATATCACTTCAAATATTATTAGATATCACTAAAGTATTCTCTTGAATCACTAAAGTACTCTCTTGAAATATTGCCATTTAAATTAAATTTTCAAGTCACAAAAATTTATGTGTATGCCCTTAGGACAATAAGTAACATATTTCTTCACTATAATGGTACTGACACACTACCTACACAGCCATAGAAATTACTCATAACTCATATATCAAAAGGAGGGAGGGGAGCTACAATACAATAATCTAACATAAAGGAGGACAAAGATGAGGTAGAAAAATTTAAACTTATTCTTCCAGGTGTTCAGAAAGCATGAAGGCTAAAGGAATTTATTATATTTCTGGGTAGTATTTCTAAACATACTCACAGAATACATAATCATTCTGGCAACAGATCAAAGTATTCTGAGTCCAAAGGACCTAAGGAATGTTGTGTTATGCCTCTGAAAAGAATCCAGTTAAATATCCCAAGGAAAGTACAGCATGATGGGATAACCCTTTAATTCCAACCCTGGGAACTGGAAATAAGAGGATCAAGAGCTAAAGACCACCCTGAGTGTTAAGGACTATTCTTGATTATCAAATAGACTACATCTAGAATTAACTAAAACCCAAATGGCTGGGCACATATTTTCTTAATTAAATAATTTGAAGTGTAAGGACCCAGTTCTAATCCAGATCTTTGAGGTGGGACACCATTAATTCAGCTCTTTTGAATTAATCTGGGGCACACACCTTCTGCTAGTAGCCTATGTAAAGGACATGGAAGGAAGCTAGCTCTCCCTCTGCCTGCTTGCTTCCACTCTCATTAGCAAGACTATTTATTCTACACTATTCTATTCTGGCATTTACTGAAGACCAGCTGTGACATCTAGAATTAACTAACAACTACTGGATTCTTGGACCTTCCATTGATAGACAGTCATTGTTGGCAGACCTGGATCACAGCCTGCAAGTAATTCCAGTAAATTCCCATTAGATGGATGGATGATAGATTCAGTCTATAAGTTTGTTCCTCTAAAGAACCCTGACTAATACACTGAGCTATATTGTGAGCCTGAGGCCAGCACATGAGACATATAGCATGAATAATAAAAACACAGAGACAGATATTGGGGTTCAAGTTGAAGATCAGAGAAGCAGACCAGTAAGTCACTAGAGAGACCTTTTCCCTCTACCAATGCTCACACCGAAAGGATGATCCTCAGACTGCCTAGACAGCACTGTCTCCACCAAACCTCAGACTCCACATTCCAGTGAGTTCCTGTCTCTTTTCTTTTATATTCCTCTCTCCAACCAGCCGTATTGCTTCTGTCTCCACCTGCCTATTGATAAGATTAAAAGTGACTCCCAAACACTGGGATTAAAGGGGTCAGTCACCACCACCTGGATCTGTTTCAGGATCAATCTTGTATAGCCCAGGATGGCCTTAAACTCACACAGGTCTGTCTGCCTCTGTCTCCTGGGATTAAAGGTGTGTGCCACCACTGCCTGGTCTCTAGTAGCTTAGCTTTGCACTCTGATCTTCAGACAAGCTTTATTTATTAAAATACAAATAAAATATCACTATAGAAACCTCTATCACAAAACAAGTCACCTTCCAAAAACAAAAACAAACAAATAAAAGAACAATAAAAAACAAAATCACCATAAGGAGATTCTCTAAAATATCTTCTAGGATGGTACAGACCACTTATTCATTTAACCATTCTTTTAAATCATAAAGGTAAAATAAAGTAATAAAAGTCAAGGGGCTAGAGAAATTGATTCAGTGACTAAGAGTATTGACTGGTGCTCACTTAGGCAGCACATATACTAAAACTAGAATAATACAAAGATTAGTATGGCCCCTGTGCAAAGATGACAATAAAAAGAAGGGAGGGAGGGAGGGAGGGAAAAAAGGAGGGAGGGAGGGAGAGAGAAAGAACGAAAGAACGAAAGAACGAAAGAACGAAAGAAAGGTGGGTGGGCAGGTGGGCACTGACTGCTCTTCCAGAGGACTCAGATTCAACTCTTAGCACCCACATGGCAGCTACAATACCAGGAAATCCAATACCCTCTTCTGGTCTCTAGGGACTTCTGGGGACACAAGGTATATGTGATACACAGACATAGATGTCAACAAAACATCTATACACATAAAAATAAATAAAATTAAAAATCATTTTAGGAGTATGCCAAGACTAGAAAAGTAGTAAGGGTGTAATATTCATGAATAAAAGCCATGAAAATGCCATGGGATGGTTAGGTAACAGGAGAGCTAGTCTGGGATAGAATCCTGATAATCAATGTCCCATGTTCTACACATTTTTTTAAGTAATGGATTTCTTTTCGTTCTGAAAGCAGCAAAATAGGGAACATATGCTGATTCTATTGGAAATGTGGTGATAGTCTTTGGTGTACAACCAATCTTTCCGAGTAGTTGGTGCTAGCATCTAACAGTAACTAGAGTGTCTTTCCACTTTCCACTCTGCACATCAGCAGCCAAGAACTGTTTCCATGAAAAGATTTCTTCTGTGTTTGTAGCCAAAGTTTTAGAATAATGAGAAAGCAGAACACAAAGGTCTGGGAAGGGTCAATCCAATCACTCACTTTCTCTGCAAGAGCCTCCTCCAAGGTCGTTAGCGCTGTGTCTGTGTTGGTGGTGTCCGCCTGCAGAGACTTGACTCGCTCTTTCAAACTGCTCATCTGCTTTTCTTTATCTCTCAGTTGTTCCTGGAGATTTTCAATCTGAATAAACACATGCATTTCAGAAAAAAAGTCATTTATGAGGTAGAAGTAGGCCCAATAACAATTATTTAAATCATAAACAAATTGTGGTGTGTGTCTGTGTGTGTGTGTGTGTGTGTGAGAGAGAGAGAGAGAGAGAGAGAGAATTTGTTTTAAAATTATATACTAAACACTTACTGTAGTGATATTTCATCTGTATTTTAATAAATAAAGCTAGTCTCAAATTCAGATTGCAAAGCTAAACCACTAGAGGCCAGCACACACCTATAATCCCAGGACTCAGGAGACAGACGCAGGCGAATCTCTGTGAGTTCAAGGCTATCCTAGGCTATATAAGATTATAAACTCGATCCAGAAATAGATCCAGGTGGTGGTGGATGACCCCTTTAATCCCAGTGTTTGGGAATCACACATCTTTAATCCTAGCACTAGGGAGGGGGAGACAGGAGCAATACGGCTGGGCAGGGAAAAAAATATAACAGGGAAGAGACAGGAACTCAACTAGAGTGTGAAGTCTGAGGATTTACGGAGACAGGATCTTGTACACTGGTCTTAATGGATTTGGTAGAGATAAAAGGTCTCTTTGGTGGCTGGCTGCTTTGCTTTTCTGATTTTCAGGTTGGACCCCAATAGCTGTCTCTGGTTTTTATTATTCATGCTACACCTTACAACAGTCAAAGTTTTGCACCACCACAGAGAAAAGATAAGTATCCTAAGAACATATATACAAATACGCAAATCCTTGCCGGGTGGTAGCAACGCATGCTTTTAATCCTACCACTCAGAAGGTAAAGGCAGTCGGATCTCTGTGAGTTCAAGACCAGCCTGGTCTACAAGAACTAGTTCTAGGATAGGCTCCAAAGCTACAAAGAAACCCTGGCTCTCAAAAAAAAAAAAAAAAAAACCGCAAAAACAAATAAGCAAATCCTTAACAAAAGAAGACAAAATTGTCTTATGAGATGGAAAGTCCCAATGTGAAGACAGTATTGCGGAAGGACTGCAATTAGTCCACATGAAATAGGATTACTTTTTTTTGGGTCTAGTAAAAAGCTAACTGTCCAATAGCTAAACAGGAGAGGGATAGGCAGAGCTGCTAGGCAGAGAGAAGAAAGAGGAGGAGAAATCCAGGCTCAAGAAAAAAGAAAGGAACAAGAAGGGAGAGGAGGGCACAAGGGAGACGCCCGGGGCAAGAAGCCGGGCAGTCATCAGCTAGCCAGACACAAACAGAGCAAGAAAATAAGAAAAGGTTATTTAAAAAAAAGCCAGTATACACTGACCAGGAGGGGACAGAGAGGAGCTAGAGGAGGATACAAAGATGGGTAGACGTGATCCATTAACTGGGAGTTTTTATTAGTATGGTGTTATTAGAATCTTTTCCATGACTTTAGAAATAAAAAGATGCTATATCACAAAATTTTACTCATGCAGAAATTTGCTGGGATTTTACTATAACAGAGTATACATACAAAAAAATTTTAGGTTGGGGGGGTTCTTTTATTTTTATGAAACATGTTTTCTCTGCTGTGGAATAATCCTTCTGTAAACTGTGAAACTGTGTTGCTCTTATTGTTAATAAAAAGTTGATTGGCCAATAGCTAGGCAGGATTTTCGGGGCAAAGAATGCTAGGAAGAAGAAGGGCAGAGTCTGAGGAGCCTCAAGAGATACAGGGAATAGGAGCTGACTTGCCATACTGAGAAAAAGTATGAAGCCATGGGCAGAGTGTAGATAAGAAACATGGGTTAGTTTAAAATGTAAGACATAGTAACAAGTCTGAGCTCTCAGCCAAGTGTTTGTAATTAATAATAAACCTCTGAATGGTTATTTGGGAGCAGATACTCAGACACAGAGAAACCATCTACATTTCTCTGTGTAGCCTTGGCTGTCCTGGAATTCACTCTGTAAACCAGGCTGGCCTCAAACTTACAGAGATCTGCTTGCCTCTGCCTCCCAAGTGCTGGGAATAAAAGTGTGCGCCACCACCAGCCAAGATGGCAGTTTTTATTGACAGGCATGCAGACTACAGAACTGACAAGGACAGAAGTCTATCACTTTTGCATGATTTCACTTTCTGCTTTGTACATCTAGTTTACTATATGAAATCATGAGGTCAAAGTCAGTCTGGGTTGTATTTCAAGAGAGTGCCTAAAAACACAAACACTGTGGACACACTGTTCCAAGTGGTAAGATTAACTCTCATCCCTCTGTCTAGCATTCCCACACTGTAGACAGTATCTGGACAAACTGCTGTAGAAGGTGGGCCATTTTATAATCCCAAGGACTTTTTTTTACATTTAATTTATTTAAGTAGGTCTGTTAGTACACTTATGCCTCCGTGTGTTTAGACAGAACAGAGGAGAACTTGCTAGAGTCGGTTCTTTCCTTCCACCATGTGAATTCCAGAGATCCGACTCAGGTTGTCATTTTGTGGCTTTTTATGTACTCTCTACTTGTTGCAAACAAAACCAGTGAGTACCTATTTAAGCATGCATCGAATTTCTGCATGAGTAGAATTCTGCAATGATCAAACGAACTGAAGCTTATTTTAAAGAGAAAATCTAACATGGGTGAACTAAAATAGAAATATTTTAAATTAGTTACTCTAGGTAGATTAATTCCTTAAAACAACCTCTCTACTCATCACATTGAGTTGGAAATAAAATATTGTATTATATATACAAGGCTGCCTTCGCCTTACCTGATTTTATAGTGATAAAAACTGATGCCAGAGGAAAGGTAAAACTAAATGCAATAGTACATGAAGAACATCAAATCTACATACCAACTATAGACTGCCACAAATTTACCAGCATCTTTTATTCTAGTTATTATCAGCATTGTACAGTTGTCAGGAACCAACACATCTGACTGAGTGGGCATAAATCCACATAAGTCCAGTCAGCTAGAACTCAGTACTTTGCCTTCAAAGCCTTAATCCCTACCAAGAAGAGAATTTCTCTACCAAAGAAATCTCACAGCGCTTCCTATAATCACCTGGAGCACCTGAGCAACTGCTTTAACAATACCTCCACAAGCTGTTTTAAACAGAATTAAATTATTATGATGAAGCCAATCAATCAGAAAGGCCCTGGACTTCATTTTCTGCAAATACTTTCCAATATCAACTGGAGAGGGGGAGAAGATCAACACAATCTTAAGATACTTAAACATAGTTTTAAACTCAATTTGCAGCATATGTGGTGAGACAAACCAACAATCCCAGCACTCAGGAGGCAGAAACAAGCAGACTGCCATGAGTCTGAGACTCAGTTTCCAAATGAGTACATACTGCTATGGTTTTCCCTGCACATACAACCATGATATAGTGTAATCTTTTAGTTGGGCATATAAAAATAATAATAATGAAAATTAAACAGAATATTACAATATACTATAATAAAACCTACAGCATATTACTTTTGTGCTTTGGGGGTCATCAGGAAGTAAATAAGGGTTAATTCAACACAATACTACAACATCACAAGTGATGTGAGAAACAGTTATCTGGCAATAGCTACCGGCCTCGTAAATGACCAATAGGCAGCAGTATTCACAGTACAAATACACTAGACAAATGGATAATTCAAGTCCTCTGTAAGACAAAATGGGACAAATAAAACTTTACCAAACTCTTGAGAATGGTTCATAATTATAAATTTATAAGTTTTTAGAATTTTCCATTCATATTTTCAGATCATAGTTACCTTCAGAAAACTAAAACTAAAAAGGAAAAAGGTGAGGGGAAGGCATTACTGTGTATCAGAAGTATATGTATGACCCTTACAAAACTACAACCCAGATATATTTTAATTGTAAGGAAAGGAATTTCCTAACGGATTTATTCATTGTATAGAACACTGCATTCTAAGACCTTTTACATAATGAACTGGATAAAAAGAAGCAAAACGTGGTGAGACCAAAATCGCAGCCTGTCAAGATCTGTTAAGAAGCAATTACGGAAAGAGTTGAAATTCTTTTTACACTCTGTTGGCACAGGTTAAAATTTTGCACAGCTGGGGCTGGAGAGACTCAGTAATTAAGTGTACTGGCTGATCTTCTCCAAGACCCAGATTCCCAGCACCCACATGGTGACTCACAACTGCCTGTAACTCCAGTTCCAGGAAATATGATGCCCTCTTCTGGCCTCAGCAGTCACCAGGTATGCATGTAATATGTAGACATACAGGCAGTCAAAACATTTACATATACAAAATAATAGAAATATTTTTTGAAAACTTGCACAGCTTAATGTACTCAAATTGCTAAAAGACTAAGCCTGAGGCAATAGCAATGGTGTGACTGCATTTATGACCTCAGGGCCTAGCATGTGTGTGAACCAATGCTTTCCGTTTTCTAGTTACACGATCTAAAGAGAAGTCTGTTGAAAGTCACACCGTAAACCCTAGAGATCTGTTATTGCCTCCTGTATTCTCTGAGCACAGGGTTACACAAATGTATACAGATATGAATAGTACTAAGAACTGGAAGACTGAGGGGCAGTGCAGCCCAGGAGAACAGGACACCTCAGTCAATGGTCTAACCACCTGGCTATTACCACAGCCACCACTGTGTCAAAGTACCAATTACTTCCTGGGATACCTTCCCAGAGAACTCAAATACCAAAGAACAGGGCGACAATGGAAACCACTGCCCATTGTCCTTGCTCATAGAATAATGTGTTAATTGAGAAGCAACGTGGGTTAAGTATTACACAGAAAATATCTCTGCAGAGATGCCTAAATTCTTCCTAGAAAGTTAAATTACAGTAGCCCTCTGTAGACAAGTTTCTTACATTTTTTACTGAAAATGTTGAGGGTTAAAAGAAAGGACACTGAATTCTATTTCTTTCCTAAAAATATTTTAACAGGACAATAAAGATGGCTGCATTCACTGAAGTCTAATTCATTAAGTGAGAATTGGTTATAATTTTCTCACAGGCCAGGTAATTTCTGAGTCTATATTATTCACAAGTAAAGGAATTTTTGGAGAATATAAGAGGCTGTCAAGGCAGCTCAGTGCATAGGGGCAAGTGCCCTTTAAGTACCCTTTAAAATCAGAGCTCAATCCCTGGAATCCTCATAGTGGAAGGGAAAACCAACTCTCAAAAGTTGTTTACAGAAAGGTTAAACAACAGGATGTTCTAAGAGGAGGTGACACACTTCGTCCTCCAGGAAAACTAGTTAAAACAGAAAGCGAACAAATCAAAGCAGCTTCAGACAGGCCCTGAAACTGAGCAGAACCCAACGTTATATATGAATCAGGACTGCTGGGGAAAGACTGAGAAAAGCTGAGGTGTTTAGAAGAGGCTCAGACAAAGTAGCGTGGAAGAAGCAGATCAGCCAAAGAGGCCAGAAGAAACAAAGACAAGCACAGCTGCTGGAAGAAGCTCAGACCAACTGAACATAAGGAAGAGACACCCTCCAACTGTTGAGCCCCTGCAGGTTGCATACTGTGCTCCAGGTTTCTAACTTTCATGAACTCCCACTGTGATGGGGTAGGCTTTTAGTGATGCGGCTGTGTTTGAGTCATTTCTACTCCTGAAAATTATCCCTCACCCACATTATTGCAGTAAAACTCTTGCATTTACCCCAGTAAAATTCATTAGTTCACCCAGGTGGACTTTGGTCCTATCGAGACTCTAGCCTATCATCAGTTCCCTCTCTGAGGTGAGCAGACGTTTGTTCAAGTTTTCCAAGGATAGTGTCACACAACAATGATGACAGATACAGACCCTAAATTTCAAATGAGGAAATGGTAACCACAAATAGCTAGTCATCACTAAATTTAAAAAATTATGATGAAAAGAATAGCTATTAATACAAGGCACAAATATGAAAACCTGGAAAAAAAAGCCGCTGAATACAAAGACCAATAAAATAGACGTTCTAAAACGTAAGTTTTGAAATATGTCACAAAACCTATGTTAACAGACATTCGTGCATACAGTCAAAAACCAAACATCTAAAAGTTACAGCAAACTAAATGTGTCCCATTTTTAATTGGGGAAGAAAAAATGCTACAAATCACTAAAAGGTAAATAAACCTATGAACACACACATTGCAGAAATGAAAATAAAAAGACCTTAAATACATAAAATTATATTCCATCTTGTTTATAAGGAAAGAGGTGGAGCCATAATGACAAACTACTTCCTCATTTCCAGGCTGGCAGAAGCAGAGAGACTAATAAAAACCCACTCTAGATGGGTCTTTATGGAAACACTTTCATACTATGCTTGTAGGAAACAGCTGATACTTGGGAAAGTCATCAAAATTATAAATGCCTATCATTTCACCAAGGTATTCTACTTCAAGGAGTCGATCCTAGAAAAGTAATTAACACAAACAGAAGCTAAATACAAACAATTTTTAGTGTAGTATTATATAAAGCAAAAAATGTAGGTATGCCATCAGAATAAACTTTGCTAACAAAGTTGTAAAACATCTTATACATGTTTACATGTATACAATGTATTACAATGATTACACCTTTGGAACACCTATCCTTGGGGTGGAACTTGGAAACATTAACCTTAAAAAAAGGAAAAATAATAGTAAGGAATGGTAAGATTTGCCTCAAAGTGTGTGTGTGTGAGCTCGCACGCGCATGTGTACCCATATTTATCCCTGTATATAGACTACCAGGTGCCAAGAAAAATAACTCAAAAATATAAACAAAATAAGAATATATATTTGCTTCTTTATGTGCAAGCTGTCACTGAAGAATAAAGGAAGTGAGCGGTGTGGGTAGAGAGACATAAAAATCACTACATTTTTAAAACAACAAATTAGTATGCATTAACAAAACAATCAACCAATATTTAGAGTGTTCAAAGTTTTACAATAGCAAAAAGGAAATGAGAACAAGTGAATATAACTGAAAACACAGGACATGATCTTCTTCAAATAAAAAAGCTAAATTGTTGCCAAGGTCAGCAAAGAAAGTTCTTCCTTGGTGACTGTTAGCAAATTAACAATAAACTAGGAAAGTGTCAAACATTTCAAATCTATCATTTCAGCAGAAACAAACCAAAAATGACATGCCTACAGCTACTGCATCAAGGACAGCTTTTATATAAGTTTAAAACTAGAAAAAAAAATAGTAGTTTTATTTTTATTTCAAAATCGGTCCATTTCAAATAATGGCCAAAGAGGTTAGTCAGTCTTCCATACTGCAAGTTACTAACTCAAAAGGAGTGCTACAATCAAGGGACAGAGTAAACCAGCTCAGCTTCCAGGTCTGCCTCGTACGTTATATGCTTATTACAGGCGCAAGCTATACTCTTCAAAATTGTCACCTAAGTAATGAAATGGATTATCTATGTGCTATTCATAGATTTCTATTCCAATTAAAGACAGTAGAGGTAGGTTAGCTAACCAAATATTGTGTCAATTGCTAAAACACTTTTGAGAAACAGGATGAGAAATCCTACTCAAAGATAGTGATACCGCTGATTTCATGAAAGACTGAACTTGTAGAGCAGTTTTATCAATCTACCTCCCGCAACAATGGTTCCGAGTACTCTGCAAATCTAAACAGAAGGAGAGCAGCTCTAGTGGTCGGTTGGCAGAGTGCTCAGAAGAAGGTTATGACACAAGGGGCCACTGTGCAGAGAACACTTGTGCCTTACCTTTTTCTGAAGAACATTGACCTTCCGTTCCTTCACGTCCAGCATGTCCTTCAGGTCGTGTATCTCTCCAGCTTGTGTACCCTTCTCCTCAGCCATATCTTGAATTTGTTTGGTTTTTTTATTTAGCATAGTCTCCTTTTCTTCTAAACGCAATCGAAGAGCATCCACCTGAGAACAGAAGATTTACAAACAATGAACAGAACAGAAGGGAGAGGAATAGTGTTGTGGAATGATCTTTTGTACACTGTAAAGATGTGACACTTGGATTGGTTTAATAAAAAGCTGAACGGCTAATACCTAGGCAGGATTTTCGAGGCAGAAAGGATACTAGAAAGAAGAAAGGCAGTGACACAGAGAGTCACCAGTCAGAGACAGAGGAAGCAGGAAAGTATCATGGGCAGTACAGAGTAAAGATAATAAATCCATGAGGCAGAAAGTAAATTAATAGGGTAATTTAAGTTTTAAGAACTAGTTAGAAACAAGCCTAAGCTATCAGCCAAGCTTTCATAATTAATAATAAGTCTGTGTGCCATTATCTGGGAGCTGAATGGCGGGACAGAGAAAGACTAGTTACAGAATAGAATTCCTTGGAATAGAGTTGCCCATATTTTAAAGAAAATAAAACTTGGATTCAGAGGAGTTACATTACTTTATTTTTAAAATTAAGCATGGGATAAAACTGGACTCTCTGAGCATGGCGAACAATGAGGGCTGATGAGAAGCCAGGGTCAATGGCACGGGGTTTTGAACCTACGTAATGTGCTGGCTTTGTGGGAGCCTAGCCAGTTTGGATGTTCACCTTCCTAGAAATGGATGGAGAGGAGAGGACCTAGGACTTACCACAGGGCAGGGAACCCTGACTGCTCTTTGGACTGGAGAGGGATGGGGAGAGGAGTGGGGGAGGGGGAGATTGGTGGGAGGAGGGGAGAAGGGTGGGAGGAGGGGGAGGGAAATGGGAGGCTGGGAGGAGGCGGAAACTTGGTTTTTTTTTTCTCCTTTTCTCAATAAAAAAAATGGAAAAAAAAGAAAAAAAAAGAAAATTACAATAAGAAGTGAAATGATTAGAACGTAAACATTCCAAATGTAGTGCATTCAAAGGATATCAAATACAAAGCACAGAGGCAGTGTACAGGAATCAGCAGCCTTCCTCTGAAAAACATATCAGTCAGAAAGACTGTTCAAAGAACCAACATTTAGCTTGGTTTTTAAATGACATATTGACCTTTACTAGATCTGAAACAGAAAGCAGAGGTAATCTAGTAAAGGAAAAAGAATATTTTGAAACATAAACACCAAACAAAGCATGTTCTAATAGATTCATCTGAGATGACTGAGCATAAAGAAAAGGGCCTAAAATGATATACAGAAAGGCTCCAATTGCCAAATATGATACTTAATTTTATCCTGTTTGCAAATCAAAGTCAATAAAAGACTTGTAAGGAGGAGGAAATGATTGTCATATTTATGTACCAGAAAATTATACTACTCTGGTCACTGGGAACACAGGACAATTGTTTTTCCCCTCCTTCAGCAGAGATTAGAACCAATAGAGAAGAGAGTAGCAGGGGAGCATGTGTTTTACAGGGAACACTAAACTGAAGTAATGTTTTCTAAAAATACAGACTAGAGACCAGAGAGAAGGTCCTGTAGGAAATGACCAAGCATGACAAGCTAAGCTCAATCCCCAAAACACACATTAGATGAGGACTGGCTCTCAGAAGTCGTACACGTACACTTACCTCCACACACATACACTAAATACATAAGTTTAAGAAAAAAAATAACTCAGCTTGAAGGTCTGTGACTGGATACTAGAGAAGCTTGGACAACTTATAAATGATGAGCAGATGCTGGCTGGTGAGGAAGATAACGAGAGAACCTTTCAGAGTGGAGGTACCATAAATACTGATGATCAGAAGAGATGTTAACGTCTCAAGAAGCTACACACAGAATGGTTAAAGCTAAGGATAGGAAGGAAGTCACAGGAAAGGAGGCTAAAAGCAGGTCTACATCAGTGTCAGGTCTAGAAGTGTGAATTTTATTGCCCATAAAAAGGAAAAATGAGAGAGAACAGCTAAAGATAAGCTTTCATCTTTTTTTTTTTTTTTCCGAGACAGGGTTTCTCTGTGGCTTTGGAGCCTGTCCTGGAACTCGCTCTGTAGACCAGGCAGGTCTCGAACTCACAGAGATCCGCCTGCCTCTGCCTCCCGAGTGCTGGGATTAAAGGCGTGCGCCACCATCGCCCCGTAGCTTTCATCTTTCTAATGAAGAAAATCAGTGAGTTTAGCTTATGGAAGGAAGCAAGAACCTTATTTCTTAAAAGTCTTCCTGATAATAACTGACTTACACGATAATGATCTAAAAATGCTACCCAACAAGCTAGAAATCCTGAATACCTTGCTTTTCAGCTTCTTACAACTCCAAAAATAAAGTACCACAAACTATGCAGCTTAAAACAGAAACTATCCCCCCACACACACACACTTAGATCTGGAGGCTAAGAAAAGTCTAAGAGTAAGAATGTCTGTAGGACTAAGCCTCCTACTGAGGACTAAAGCTCTTTCTTAGCCTCTCCCTACATTCTGATGACTCCTGGAAAATCTTGGCCTTGGATACATCTGCAAAGAGCCTGTGGTGCTTTGAAAGAAGAACACCCACAGGCTCATTTGTTTAAATACTTGGCCCCCAGTTGGTAGAACTGTTTAGGAAGGATCAAGAGACCTGGCCTTGTTAGAGGAGATGTAGCCACTGGGGGTGGCTTTAAGGTTTCAAAAGACTTACATCATTCCCACTGTGCTCACTCGCTGAAGATCAAAAGGTAAGCTCAGCCGGTCATGCCACCATGTCTTTGCACCACCATCCTGGACTCTAACCTAAAATTGAGCCATGCAAGTGCTTTCTTTTTTAAGTTGCCTTGGCCATGGTGCCAAATAACTAAGATACAGGTCACCCAAACCAATGTGAGGCTTGGGAAGAAAGGTATTTGTGATGGGCACTATTAAACTACACATACTGCTATAAAACATTCCAAAATGCTAAACTATAACAAACTTTCTTAATTAACAGATGAGTACTCACATGCACATACACATGTGCACATGGAGAGACACAAACTCACTAATGATTGAAAATGAAGAGCCCATGAATCTAGAATGTAGGGATAAGTCCCGCCCCTTAGGGGGCATGTTCACCTTGGGCTAATGTTGGCCTATAAATTTGGCGAGCATGCTCCCAGCAGTCTCTTTCTGCTTTCCTGGTCTCTGCGGAAACGGTGGTTCTGTAAGTCTATTTCACCATTAAAGCTATATATATTTTTACAATCTGTCTGCATTCGTTTACGCCGTTACACTAGAATGGTATATGTTAGGAGTTGCGCCACCCCCTACTTTCTACTTTTTATGTAGGTGTGTAATCTATAGTATGGGGCTTTAGCACATTGCTCCATTCTCAGAACTTTGTGATCACAGGACTTCTCAATACTCCTCAAAGTTACGAAAGGCCCTAAGGAGCTTTTACAAGTTAGACCTGTCAATATTTATTAAACTCTAAATTAAAAATTAAATAGCCCTAGGGCTAAAGGTATAGCTCAGTTGGCAGCATGCTTCCCTGGCTCACAGAAAGCACTGAGAGTTCAGGCGCCAGCATCACAGTATTATATAGCAATTTCCTCCATGTTAAAAATTCCCTCCTAGAGAAAGGCTTCTTAAGACTCGGGAAATTGTAAAAGGAGGCTCATAAGACTCAAGAAGTACACTTATGTTTGGAAATACAGAAACTTACAAGATTCACAAAGTCCCTCCCCAAGTTTAGAGAAGCAATTAACTTCTGCCAGGGGACCTTCCTAGAACAAACTACTAAACTAAAGGAGAATCTGCAATCTGCCAAGCTGACTGTAAATCATACAGAAAGCTCTAGGGTTCAGGGTCTTGTGAGCTGGAGTAGGCTTTGCCTTGAGTTCTTCCTGCTCCTGTAAGTACATCTAATAAACTAACTGATTTACCAAGTTAGACCTGAGTAAAATTATTACTTTTGTCTATTCTCAGTTCCCTATCTGGGATGAAGAGACATTTGTGTCCCATCTTCCCAATAGATGTCTCACACAACACACATAAGGCAGATGTGTTAGCATGAAAGGGGACTAGTCCCTTTAAGATGGGCTGACCCTTGTTCCAAAGGTTGTACCCCCTTTCCCAAGGCAGATACACATTGAAATCCTTAGAAATTGCTGGCAAGGACAAGACCAATCAGAGAGAAAGAAGGGAAGTTAAAGGGGAAATGACCCCCAAAAGCTTATTAAAAAGTCTGACCCAGAGATGGTGGGCAGATCCATCCCCTGATGGAAGCTCTATCTATTCTAATCTATTCTAATAAAGTCTCTCATTTTTGTTCTTTGTTTTGCCCCTTCTCTGTGGCTAGTGCTTCTGCATTTGAGCTTTTTCTCAGCCTTCTCAATCTCTGTCAATTATGTTATATCATCTAATAAAGCTTAAAAGAACAACCCAGCCGGGCGGTGGTGGCGCACGCCTTTAATCCCAGCACTTGGGAGGCAGAGGCAGGCGGATCTCTGTGAGTTCGAGGCCAGCCTGGTCTACAAGAGCTAGTTCCAGGACAGGAACCAAAAGCTACGGAGAAACCCTGTCTCGAAAAATCAAAAAAAAAAAAAAAAAAAGAACAACCCAAAAGAATGGAATCTTGGGGCTGCAGAAATGGCTCAGCAGTTCTGGCTTGTTACTCCAGAGGACCCAAATTGATACCCAGCACTCATATGACAGGTTACACTCATTTGTAACTCCAGTTCCAGGAAATGCAACACTCTTCTGGCCTCCATGGGCACTTCACACATGTGGTGCATAGATATGCATGCGAGCAAAACACCCATACACATTGAATTTAAAAAAGAACTGCATATTTTGCAATTATTTAGATCACAAATTAAAGTTCAATAGGAAAATGTTGACAGCCAGTATATTAAACAAGACTTTCTAACATAAAATTTAATAAAAAGACAAGCTGTAGATGAGGAAAAATATTTGTAAATCATAAATTTGATTTCAAAATACTCTGTCCATAAGATATAAACAGCTGTCAAAATTAAAGACAACCAATCCTTATGTGAAAAGATATGAACAGGAATCTCACTGCAGAACATAAATAACATTAATTACTTT